CCCCCCCCCCCCCAGAAAATCCATGCCTGGGAGGTTGTATTCCTATCAAACCGAGGCTTTCTTGTTATTGCCATTACCTACACTGGTACAGGCCATTCAAGATTTCATCAGGCCACTGTGTGCTTTCAGGAGATGCAGATACGGAAGTAGACGAAGGAGAAGATGGTGGGGATGAACTGGAGAATAGTGATAGTTCAGACTCAGAAATTGAAGAAGAAGATAAATGGCAGTGCGAAGTATGTTCCGAACGTAATCATCCTATCACGAGACGTTGTAGACGTTGTTGGACTGTCAGACACGATTGGTTTCCTTCTACTTTAGATAGGTATGTGGTCAAGCTATGTTATCAAGAAAGTAGTCACAGAGAACACGTGAGCCCCCATTCTACTCTGCCGACACATTATTTACATAACATACTGTTAAATTTTATATGAGCCTACGTTGGAATGAATATATTTGTTTACCTCAAATACTCAGTAAAAAAATACTTTCTATTAATAGGACATCGTCTGATCTAGGTCGAATTCGACACGAGACCGTGGAAATAGACGAAGCAACGGGTAAGTTACTCTGAACTCTTTTATTCAGATGTGATTTTGAGATGTAACTTTAAAACTTTAACTTCATTTATATTGGGTAGCTGTATCAGCTCTTTCTAAATTGTTCTCCCCAGTAGTTCACTTAAGGTGGCTTTAGAATGAGAGCCCAGGTTCGAGGTTGAGGCGCCCTTAGAAAGCCTTCGACTCGATCAGGTCTTTCGCAATTCAGCATAGCTCTTGGCTGCAAGCACACTCCCACCTATAGTAACGTACCTACTTACTTACTTACTAGTAGGCTAGGAAAATTCGCTCATGAATACAATATGGTAATAGTACTGGAGCACAACGGAGTGTCGAGATGTGGTGTTTGGTAACGTCATCCTGGAAGCACTCTTGTCACATACGACTGTAGACTTGCTCCAAGTCTCTCTTTCATTGTCATATAGTATCGATCCGCTATACATTACATGACGTAGTACGGAGGGGCGGAGCGAGAAAGAGAGACTTGTCAACTTCGGAAAATCTCGTTTCAAAACTGAACCGAAAATGCAAGATTTGCTTTAATTGTTTTCCTTCAATTTCTTTCTGTATTATTTACTGTACATATAATGGAACTCGTGTTATTTACACTGTGCTAGATTAATACATATAAACACTGACAGAAAACAATTAAGGCAAGTCTTGCATTTTCGGTTCAGTTTTGAACCGAAATTTTCCGAAGTTGACAAGTCTCTCTTTCTCGCCCCGCCTCTCCGTACTACGTCATGTAATGTACACTATAGTGGATCAATACTATATGACAATGAAAGAGAGACTTGGAGCAAGTCTAATGCGACTGAGGCGAAATTATAACAGACAATTGCGTAGTGAAAGGTATAAATGCAGTAACCACTATCACACCAACGTCCGACAAGAGTTGCATGAAAAATTTCAGCGTGTGACTTTTTCTTTGTATAGTGTCCGACTCTGCGTCAACTAGTCATGCTGCTATACGTGAGGTACATGAGCCCTGTGGCTCCACTGCTTCGGGGTCCAGGGACGGTTTTGATGGTTTAAAATGCATGTTGTGTCGTAAGGAGCCGCCGAACGGTTGTATTATACACGGAGGAACTGGTCACCAGGTATGCTGCGTTGTGTGTGCTCAAAAACTTAAAGATAGCAATAGACCTTGTCCTGTATGTCGAAAGAAAATTGGGAAAGTTATAAAGAATTTCATGTAGCTTCCGTTCTGCGCGGTTGTCGATGTTTACGACCGCGCGCAGGCCAGATGTGCACAATATATAATATAATATAATAAATGTACTTGCTTTCAAAATTTCATTCACTTTGGGATAAGCAAGACATGCCGTAGTACGGTTTAGATTGAATATGTTAATATATAACAACTTATTTATTTTAATAATTAGAAATTTAGGTTAGACCGTTATATATAGCGTTACAAGCAAAGGCACCGTTGACTTATGTAAAGAAGCGAATTGCATGCGCGACTTAACAAATAGATATTTTTTCCGTTGCGTTTGCTCTTGACCAGAATCAGCTCCGATTATATAACTATGTTGTGCGGGAAAAGATATCTCCGTTAAGTAATTAAAAGGGCAAATCCAATACACCCTTTCGATAATTACCGTCAATTGGCCTGGGAGCCTCGCTCTCATGAATCGTGAGCCAATCACCTTGCTGCAAGAGCAAAAAGTATGTGTGACGTAATTATCGAAAGGGTGTATTGTTTTTAATCCTTTTTCAGTAGGTAGAACTAACTTCTACTTACCCGACAAGTTTTGCGAACAATTTCCAATCCATCACAATACATAATTGCATCTGTGGTCATTGATGTGACAAAGCCGACGATATTGTTTGAGTTATTGCTATATTAGTATTGCAATGTCAGTTTTGTATTGACTTGCATGATGTACGTGTAAATACCAGCATACTATGTATGCCTTGCAAAGCATATTTTTGGAAATATGAAAGTCTATTTTGGTTATGGTTTGCATGCCATACGTGTTTTTCGTTTTAAAATTTAATACACTTAACAATATTTACACTCGACTTGAGTTAGTTGCACACTTGTAGTTGAGTGGAATGGGGGAAACAAACGAAGCAGAAAATATTTTTTTGGCACACACTGCTAAGGGTGATGCGGATTTGACAAGGAACAATTTGTTGTTGGGTCGGGTTACCGTTGCTTGACAACATACACCCGCTCACCCTACCCCCTTTTAGACTTTGAGATTAGCTGCCGGGCATGAGACGGAGAATGTTCGTTAGATTCGTTGTGTTTCGGTTAGAGTGCATGACGTTACAATACCCAATGCAAGGGTTTGACTACCTTACAGGCGTTCATTGTGGGTAATGTCAATAAACTTGGCATCTATTTTCGTAATCTCTTAGTGTACACAGTACACTATACCGGATAACTTTCTGTAGCGGCGGGAAAAAGCACCTATCCGATACGGAATGTACAACTTTCAGAAGCTGAGCGAAACAACATCTCTCTGTTGCAATAATTCCTCTGAAAATAGCGTCAAGATAGCGTTTCTAAAAGGTAAGGATAGGTGTTTTTTCACGACGCTATACGGAAAGTTATCGGGTATAAGTGTAAACGTAGCCTTAATAACACCCTAACATTCATCCTAACCCGTCAACCGCAACGAACGCCCGTGAGTTAAAGCTCTTTTTCATTTTTCCCATTGCAAAAACCAATTCGCAAGCTCGCTGCGAGTCAAAGCGCCAATGCAAAGCTGTAAATGATTGATTACAGTCAAGCTTGCATGGATAGCTGCAGCAGCTCCCAGCTGTTCGTTTATTTCAACCTCGTTCCCAGGCTTTTTCCTCTTGTGGAGGATTTTTGCACTTAAAATTAAGTTAAGGTATAGTACTAGAGATTAAGTAATATATAAAAACTATGAGCTATAATAGTTCATGCAGTGGTTTATATTAGGCCGATTAATACTTATACAACTTACAGCACAATAGATAGATCGCCTTATGGGGAAATGATGTGTTTGTATGAGTTGGATTCAGCCTAGTCCCAGTCGTTTGAAGCAAGCGCGAGAAAAAAACGCGGATGTAGTGTGAGACTGGGACCCAGGTGTGACGTCACAGCTGAAGGTGCTCTCGGCACAGCACACTCAGGCATAAAACTTATTTATAAAATATATCAAAGCAGCGTTCAGCGCGAGAGCCTGGGACTAGGCTGAGTTGGATTATATACTTGTTATACAACACTAGTAGTTTACAATGCACAACTGTTTGTTCATTTTCTTGCTTCATATGAAATTTTGCTAGCATATATATGTATATATATAGCTCACTTAATATTAGATACTGTCTACTATAGTGTTCATTATTATTTATAAGGTAAACTCATGTGAAACGGTTCTTGTAATAAATATACACATCTACGACTGGTCATATTGTTTTTTTCACTCCCTCTCTCTTAGTCATATTTACAATACACAATTGGTATTCATTTCTTTATTGTTCAATATTAATTCGTATGTTACACAATTCATAATTCTACACGCTATTTAATTCAATTCCTGCATTCTAAAATTCGCTATAACTCAATTCTAATATGAACGCAAATTATGCTATGGAAAATATGGATCTATTTACGAAGGGTGGGGTGTTGCTTTAGCTTATCGGCGGGATAAAGTTGTAAAACTTTCTGCGTTTGTTCCGTTAAGACTTGGTTGAATTTCTCCCGAGTTATTGTTATATTTGCAATGCTTTGAAACAAATTTTCTTCTGAAATATTTTCCGGTAGTTTTGTGAGAAACTGAGCCAATGTTATGAACTCCATTTTCATCAGTTCAGACGAAAACATTTGAAGAATGCCTAAAACAAGTAAAATACGACACTATCACACCTCAGATAAAAATTCCAGACCTAAAAATCCTCAGGGGATCCCACTTTTCTCCAACCTCGTTTCCAGGCTCTCTCCTTTCTTTCACGTCTGCAATTTTGCAGAATTTCTATCCTTTCACGTCTATTTGACTATGGTTTGACAGAATTCTTTGACAGGTTTCAGTAACTTTTACTTCTTGGGTCGTTCATTCTCATTAATTTTCCACACTCGAAAATTTTCATTCACTTTACACACATACACACACGCAACACACTCACACGCAACACACATGCACTCACACGCAACACACACACACGCAACACACATACACTCACACACTCACACGCAACACTCACATGTAACACGCATACACGCAACACACATACACTCACACGCAACACACATACACTCACACGCAACACTCACATGCAACACGCAACACTCACACGCAACACACATACACTCACACGCAACACTCACATGCAACACGCAACACACATACACTCACACGCAACACACATACACTCACACACATACACTCACACGAAACACACTCACACGCAACACACTATACACTCTCATAGACTTTATACCATTTATTCATAAATTCGCATCATTGGCACTTTCGTCCACATTCAAAATTCTCCTATACTTGCATGCTCCTCCATTAACATACTTTTAACGACCCTCATGAGCCAAAGACACGTTTCAACTCTCGTGCTATCTCAGTTATGTATTCAAAATGTTCATCAACATTCATTCACATTCAAATATTTCGTATCATCAACTTTTCCATCTCATTAATTCCAATGCTCTGTCAAACATACTTTTCATCTCTCATGCCATCATTTACTATACTCGCATAATTCGAGTACTAGTTTTCGGGTTATATACAATACACAAGCATACAAAGTTACAAACAAATTTTACCCAGAGCAGTTCTAAACAAAAATTCATCACCATCTCGACAAAATAGATCCCACACTCTGCTCGCTACGTCTAGTGGTAATGATTTACTGTACAACGTGAATATCCTAAAAAGCAGAAATATATATCTATTAGAAAGTATAGATGGCAGATCGAGTGGCAATACAGACATGCAGTTCTGTTCTCTGAGAATATAGGGCCAGCAAAAAGTACATACCAATCAGTAAGATATAAATCTGGCGTTAACCCTTGTTCGGTGAAGTGAGATTGTAGTTTGGGAAGGTGATCTTGCAGATGGACTTCAAATGCTAAGAAATATGCCCTCATCTGGTAATAAAATATAACGCTATTGTAAGCAACATCGTATTAAAAATAACATCTTCAATATCAACTGGGTCAATTTCCATACAATCCTCATGCCATACAGCCCTAAGCCTAGCCCCAACCCTAACTTTTGTGACGTAATTTTGATTTTGTAATATGGAAAGCAAATAGCTTGGTATGCTCAAAAGAGCCTGCTTATCACTGATGCACATCAACATCAGGCGTATGCTATTCCTTTCGCTGGTTGAGATGCAGCTCTACTTGGCAACACAAGTATGGTCGCCAATTCATAATCGACAATTCAATGAAATAATCACGAGAGTTCAAAGGAGAGCAACTAATTAACGGGATGGATAATTATTTAAAAGTTTTGGTAATGTCATTAAATAATGGCTTTGGCTTTATATTTGGAAGTTGAAAGCAATGTCCCAACAACAGAACAGAGCATAATTTCTAGCTTGACGTTTTTTTATATAAATATTGATTTATTTCATCAAAAGCATCTAGGTGAGACATTTCTGTACAGTGGGATCATTGCTCAGGTCCTCATTGCAAGTGGATTACCATGGGTTGATCAACGCTAAAGAACGCCATCTGCATAGGTCTGTTGATGAGATTTGCAAAACATATAAAAGCATCAATTTCTTCCATGTTCAGTAAGAGAACCGCAGCTAAAAATGCCATCCCTTGCACCTGAAGATAAAAAAGATGCAGATATGATCATGTATTTATTATGGTAGAGTAGAAATCTCGAATGTTGCAGTCCAGTGTAGCTATACTTACATATATCCTATATACTCACATATCTTATATACTTACATATCCTATATACTTACATATCCTATATACTTACATATCTTATATACTTCTTACATATCCTATATACTCACATATCCTATATACTTACATATCTTATATACTTACATATCCTATATACTCACATATCTTATATACTTACATATCCTATATACTTACATATCCTATATACTTACATATCCTATATACTTCTTACATATCCTATATACTTACATATCCTATATACTTACATATCTTATATACTTACATATCCTATATACTTACATATATCCTATATACTTACATATCTTATATACTTACATATCCTATATACTTACATATCCTATATACTTCTTATATATCCTATATACTTACATATCCTATATACTTACATATCTTATATACTTACATATCCTATATACTTACATATATCCTATATACTTACATATCTTATATACTTACATATCCTATATACTTACATATATCCTATATACTTACATATCTTATATACTTACATATCCTATATACTTACATATCCTATATACTTACATATCCTATATACTTACATATCTTATATACTTACATATCCTATATACTTACATATCTTATATACTTACATATCCTATATACTTACATATCCTATATACTTCTTACATATCCTATATATACTTACATATCCTATATCAGGTCTATAACATGAATATGCTCCAAGAACTTTGTACAAGACGTTGTGGAACGGACCTCCCTTAAAAGGAAAACTACATTTTTAAGCCATCCTAAAAGTAGGTTGCTGATAACCTAGTAAGCTGCATTTCGTCGTGATGCGCCCAGTTATTTAATATTGTCTAATATCAGACGATTTAATAGTTATAACCAGACTATCTGCCCATGTTTTATATTATGTCCAAACTATGGTTAAGCAAAACAGTTCTTGGTGCAGTTTTGGTGAGTGGTTACTGGTTGGTGCATTATCAATATTCAATAGGTCTCACGAGAAGTGGGGAGCGTAGCTACCACTGCGCAGCGAAGGACTTTGAAAAGTCTACGTCTGCATAACTGGACTGCATTTCCGCAATATGCATTTTCTAAATAAATTTGCCATTTGAGGCAAACAATTTGAACATAAATTACTTTCTGAAAAATTCCAAGAGAAGGGAATGTCCTTGATACATCCATCGTGATAAGATCTACGACGGAATCTGTGACGAAGTTTTGTGACTTGGCTGCTAGATCTTCAGACCTCAGTCTTGACTTGCTATTTTCATTATTTAGCAGTTTTTGCTCTGCGTGACAACGGAATATTTCGAACAACTCTGAAAAAATAAAAGAATAGAATTTGATAAATGACGCGATTATCCTGTGGCTGTGCTGGTATGCTACAGATAGATCCTCTGTGGAAACCACAGAACGCACTATCCGTGTAGCTGGCTGTACCTTGTGTGATGTGTAAATCATTTCCAAAAGCGAGTTTCCACACTCTGCCTCGAACACTTGGTGGCAAACCTAGCCACCATAATTCAAGGACTTTCTTTGCATTTCTCCTAAAGAAAAAAATATGTCGAAAACAATTTACCACACTCTTTTACATGGGCGTACCGGAAGGAAAAAATTAGGGGGGCGGAAAGAAATTTGCCCGACTTTTCGGGATTGTGCCCGAGTAGTACCTAAAATTTTTTTTCAAATTTTGCCAAAAAATTTTCGATTAGTAGTGTACCATTTTAGGGGCCAAACAACAAAAGTGACTGAATTTTCGACTAAAATGACAGAATTTGTCCCATTTATTTTTTTTACAAACCAAAATTGCCCGACTGTTGATCGAATATTGCCCGACTGCCCAAAAAACTGGGGGGGGGGCTACCGCCCCCCCCCCCCGCCCGGTACGCCTATGCTCTTTTAATTATGAAGAACAAATCTCAATAATTTCCAATATTTTCTGACATACATATTATCCCAGTTAGGTAATATTTCTTTATTCCATGTTGCTAAGGCGTTCACGACAAAATTTTCATGATGACTTTGGTCTTCCTGTTTCTTCTGTTGTTCTTGAAGGTCGCGTAGCTCTGAGTTATAAAAAAGTACTTGCAATTGGACATTTCTTTACACAAAAACTGCATTCTAGTTTCTTTATTAGTATTAATGATGGTACAGCAAGGATGGGCCATAATACTTTACCTTTCTTTTTGGCCACCTCAATCATTTGTTGGTATAGCTGTCTGTGTCGCTTCTCTTCCTTAGGGTCTTTTGCTGGAAGATTTCTATTCAAATATATTGATGTTGAAGAAATGTTCAAGACCAGTGACATGCAGGTACAAGGCAAGTTAGGAATCGTTAGGAATAATTACAAGTTTAGGGAGGATGAGGGATGTTTACTTTGGTGAAAGGAAGAAGTATGGTATTCTGTATTTCACAAAGGAATTAAAAGGTGTGGGGATTTAAAGATAAGCACATGATTAGGGAGGTTAAGTGGTTTTAAGTTTTGCCTTGGAAAGGCCACCCTTAATTGAATTAGGTGTATACATAAATTATAAATAGCACTTTCACATGAAATAGTGGTGAAATGCATATTGTTGACAGTTGAAATGTCTGGTAGGGTCATGTATTAATAATGCAGTGCCTTGGCCTCCAATGGTTGAATATGTTCACAACATACTGTACCTTGGTCTGTTTTCAAATATAAGACCTGTTGTTGATAGAACAGGTGCAACACCTCTTGATCTTGTGCTAGACACTCTAGGTAATGTTGCACTCTTTTCACTAGTTCCTGTTAGGTAAGTCCCTCCTATGATTAAAAATGTGCATGATATGCGGAATCAGTTTCAGCTTTGAATTTTGAAAACAGAAATATTTTATAGAAGAGAAATAACAACAAAACTAGTAAGGGACCGCTCATTATTTATTGTACAGGGGGGGATTGAGGAGAAACTGGGGGGGCCTTCAAATTTTTCAAAACCTGAAAGGGGGGGCTTTGAAAAAATACAGAGAGACGAAAGAAGTGGGGGCTTTGAAAATATTTACCAGTTTGAAAAAACAGTAGTTTTAAAAATGTATCACAAAACAACTTAAGAACAAATAACAATATTTATAGACTTTAATATTCATAAATGGAAGTCAAATAAAAAGTCTCTCATGTTCATGTAAATAGACAATTCCCATTATAGACTAATTTTAGAACTAGGCAAAGAGATGCAAATCAAGGCCGGATTTTGGTGAAAATAGTGGGGGAGGTGGACAAAAATTTTAGGAGGGGTGCAGCGGTCTAGCTCACAACTCCCATGGAAAGTTAGGGCTTATTGTAGAACAGGCCAATATCAACGAGGTGAGGTATGCATGTAGGGTACATAATATGTACCAGTGTATTAATGAATTATGAATGTATGACTCCAATCTTGCCCTTCATTACAATTGCTACACTGTTTCTTTCAAAACATTGCATTAAAAGGGTGCTTGACATGGCTATCACTGTTTCAATTTTACAGAGAAAACTTTCTCACGTCACAAAGTGTAGATCCTAAGCAACCATCACATTTTCACTTTGTTCCATCATTGAAACTTTCCCAAGGGGAAGTGCATGA